TTTATGAAAGATTGCTTGGGTCCCAATCTCAGCTCCAGAACTTACTTCTATGTGCCCTAGTTAGCTCATCTGTAAAATGAGGCTAATACTAGTATCTACCTCATGTGGCTATTTTTTTTTTTTTTTTAACGGAGTCTCGCTCTGTCACCCAGGTTGGACTGCACTGGTGTGATCTCGGCTTACTGCAACCTCCACCTCCTGAGTTCAAGCGATTCTCTTGCCTTAGCCTCACAAGTAACTGGGATTTCAGGCATCCACCACCATGCCTGGCTAATTTGTTGTATTTTTAGTAGAGATGGGGTTTCACTGTGTTGGCCAGGCCGGTCTCGAACTCCTGACCTCGTGATCTGCCTGCCTTGGCCTCCCAAAGTGCTGGGAATGTGGCTATCTTTAGGAGTAACTGAAATAATACATTGGATGCACTGAACACAGTTCTTGGCACACAGTGACAGCTGTACGATTGCTAGCCATCATTTCTATTATCATGAATTAGTTTAAAAGGTAAGAGATCCATAGGCATTGACAAAAAAAGATTTCCAAGTACAGTATATCACTGGAATATTGTTAAATGAAGATGTAAAATGCAAACATGCAAATAGTAAGATTCCATTTATATGTATCAATACAATGCAAAGCATTGCATGAGAATGCCACACTTGGCTATGATGGGCCTGAAAGTGGGAACGAGAAAGTCCAGCTTCATTTGGATTATGCCCATTTGAGGAAACTGCGACTTAAGATGTTTAAATTAAGTAACTCACTCAAGGTCATACCTTGTATGGACTAAGTTGTGATTCAAGTTCAAGTCGGTTTGCCTCTACAGTCCATGATCAGTTGGGAAAATGCAAAGGAAAAGAGTGAGTGATGTCAGGCACTGAAGGAGAGGAAAACTGGGCAAGTCTTGAAGGCCTTTCAAGAGGGAATGGGAAACAAAGCATAGCTGGGGCCTGAGGAAGGGCCAAGTGCCAAATGGCTCGCGGAAGGTTTACTCAGAAGCTGCTGCAATGGCCTGAGTGGCCAGAAGGAAGTGAGCCCAGGGACCAGGAAGAGACCAAGAGGAGCTGTGCAGGGAGGAAAGGAGGAGGATGATGCTCCGCTTTGGCAAGTGACAGTGTAGATGGTCAGGGACCACCTGCAAACACAGAGGAGAAAGGGTTTGGAGGGGAGGCACGGTGTGGGGATGGTAATGCAAGTGAGTTCAATTTTGAACACATTGAGTTTAATGCAGCAAGGGACATCCAGGCAGCTGCAATACAATAAAATAAGAGAAAATACAAATCTGGAGGGAGAGCAAGAGGTTGGAATCAGAAGTCACTAACACAGGCATATGAAAAGGTGCTCAACATCACCGATCATAAGAGGAATGCAAATCAAAACTATAATGAGATATCATCTCACTCCAGTTAAAATGGCTTCTATCGGCTGGGCGCAGTGGCTCACGCCTGTAATCCCAGCACTTTGGGAGGCCGAGATGGGCGGATTACGAGGTCAGGAGATCGAGACCATCCTGGCTAACACGGTGAAACCCCGTCTCTACTAAAAATACAAAAATAGCCGGGCGTGGTGGCAGGCGCCCGTAGTCCCAGCTACTTGGGAGGCTGAGGCAGGAGAATGGTGTGAACCCGGAGGCAGAGCTTGCAGTGAGCGGAGATCGTGCCACTGCACTCCAGCCTGGGTGACAGAGTGAGACTCTGTCTCAGAAAAAAAAAAATGGCTTCTATCCAAGAGACAGGCAATAATAAATGCTGGCGAGGACATGGAAAAAAGGGAACCCTTGTATACTGTTGGTAGGAATGGAAATTAGTCAAATCATAGTGGAGAACAGTTTGGAGTTTCCTCAAAAGACTAAAAATTGAACTACCATATGATCCAGTAATCCCATTCCTGTGTATGTACCCCAAAGAAAGGAAATCAGTGTATCAAAGAGATAACTGCACACCCATGTTTGTTGCAGCAGTGTTTACAATAGCTAAGGTTTGGAAGCAACCTGAGTGTCCAAAAACAGATGAATGAATAAAGCAAATGTAGCACATAGACACAAGGGAATACACAAAAAAGAATGAGGGCCAAAGTTGTCTGTCTGCCACGACAACAGAAACGTGATCATTTGCAACAACATGGATAGAACTGCAGATCATTACCTTAAGTGAAATAAGCCAGGCACAGAGACAAACATCACATGTCCTCATTGACTTGTGGGATCTAAAAATCAAATCCATTGAACTCATGGACATACAAAGTAGAAGGATGGTTACCAGAGGCTGGGAAGGATAGTGGGAAGTTGGTGGGGAGTGGGGATGGTTAATGGGTTAAAAAAAAAAAAAGAATAAGACCTACTATTCGATAGCACAATAGGGTGCCTATAGTCAATAATAACTTAATTGTTTACAATAACTTAAAGAATGTAATTGTATTGTTTGTAACTGAAAGGATAAATGCCTGAGGGGATGGATACCCCTTTCTCCAATGTGCTTATTTCATATTGCATGCCTATATCAAAACATCTCATGTACCCCATAAATATATACACCTACGTACTCACAAAAACTATTATTTTTTATTTATTTATATTTATTTATTTATTTTGAGACAGAATCTCAGTCTGTCGCCCAGGCTGGAGTGCAGTGGTGCGATCTCGACTCACTGCAAGCTCCACCTCCCAGGTTCATGCCATTCTCCTGCCTCAGCCTCCCGAGTAGCTGGGACTACGGGCGCGAGCCACCACGCCCAGCTAATTTTTTTTGTATTTTTAGTAGAGACGGGGTTTCACTATGTTAGCCAGGATGGTCTCGATCTCCTGACCTCGTGATCTGCCCGCCTCAGCCTCCGAAAGTGCTGGGATTACAGGCATGAGCCACTGCGCCTGGCTGACCTAAAACTCTTAAAGGCTCACTCAGCCCCAATCAAGCTTGCTTTCTCTAGCATCTAGAACCCAGAAAAGATCAAAACAACCACTTGCCCAGCACTAATTGGCTGTGGCATCAGGTGGTTTTATTGCTCTGTAATAAGGTTACTAAAGCTCTTTCTTGAAATTTTTTTTTAGACAAAGTTTCACACTGTTGCCCACACTGGAGTGCAGTGGTGCAGTCTCTGCTCACTGCAACCATCCTCTCCTTGGTTCAAACAATTCTCTTGCCTCAGCCTTCTGAGTAGCTGGGATTACAGGCAACTGCCACCATGCCTGACTAATTTTTGTCTTTTTAGTAGAAATGGGGTTTCGCCATGTTGGCCAGGATGGTCTTGAAATCCTGATCTCAAGTAATCTGCCTGCCTCAGCTTCCCAAAATTCTGGGATTACAGGCTTGAGTCACTGCGCCCGGCCTTTTGTTTAACCACTATGCACATGGATTTCCATCTGCCATTTTTTTTTTTTTTTAATACAGAGTCTCACTCTGTCGCCAGGCTAGAGTGCAGTGGCGCAATCTCCGCTCACTGTAATCTCCGTCTTCCGGGTCCAAGTGCTTCCCCTTGCCTCAGCCTCCCGAGTAGCTGGGACTACAGGCACCCGCCACCATGCCTGGCTAATTTTTTGTATTTTAGTAGAGACAGGGTTCCACCATGTTGGCCAGGATGGTCTCTATCTCCTGATCTCGTGATCTGCCCGCCTCGGCCTCCCAAAGTGCTGGGATTACAGGTGTGAGCCACCGCGTCTGGCCTCCCATGTGCCTTTTACCTTACCCTATTACTAGTGGCTGCCTGATGATCTCAGAACACCATGTATAGGAGATGCGCTTCCGATTCTAGGAAGGATTTCTAATGCTGTTTTATCTTTACGGACTTGCTACTGCGCTTCTGTCTGCCAAGCCAACAGAAACGTGGCTTAGAAACAATGCTTTTTGGTTGGAAGGCAGTCTTGCTAGGGGTCTTTGGGGGCCTTTCCTAGGACATTGGACCAACAGCATTTCATAGCTACTACAGAAAATACCCCAGACTTTGGCCCATAAGATCTCTCGTATTATACTGCAGATCTACCAATGGCAGTCAGACCTAGAGGCAGATGCAATCTCCGGTTCGCGGGTTGGGACCAGTCTTGTGGAACAAAGTCACCGCCTACTTCTGACATGGTACAGGGAGGAAACACACAGAGGTTAAGATTTAGGCAAGAGGCCAAGCGCGGTGGCTCACACCTGTAATCCCTGCACTTTGGGACGGCCGAGATGGCCGAGGTGGGCGGATCACTTGAGGTCGGGACTTGGAGAGACCAGCCTGGCCAATATGGAGAAACCCCATCTCTACTAAAAATACAAAATTAGCCAGGTGTGGTGGCGCACGCCTGTAATCCCAGCTACTCGGGAAGCTGAGGCAGGAGAATCGCTTGAACTCGGGAGGCGGAGGTTGCGGTGAGCCGAGATGGCGCCATTGCATTGCACTCCAGCACGGGCGACAGGAGCGAAACTTTGTCTCAAAAAACAAAACAAAACAAACAAACAAAACACAAAAAAACCCCAAAACACTTAGACAAGGCCAGGTGCCTGGGTCGAGGCCAGGCATCCTCTCACTTAGCAGTCTTTCTTTCACAACACACTGATCCCCGTGTTCGGCATATTGTGGGGAGTTGCAGAGCATTCCTTTCCCTGGACATAAATTTCCATCGTTTACTGGTGACATCAAATCACAAGAGGCCAGAACGCAATTTTGAAGTCAGAATCTCAGCCAGAAACGAAGTTGGCCTCTTGTCGAGGAGCCAAATAACTGGATGGACGCTCTCATCCGCTTCGCAGACGGGCGCACACGGTGCGGAGGTGAGGTGATTTCTGCGTTTGGGTAGAGCGGCGTCGGCTTTAGATGTCCACAGTACCGAAGCTAGTCTTTTACCAAAATGCAATCTCTAATGGTCCCTCACAAACAGCAGTCCCCAAATACAGCCGCGCTTGGACCTCGACGAAGGGGGTACCACTAACGCTTTGGGGAGAGCCCACGGTCCGCGCCGGCGCCTGGAGGCCGGGTACAGCGCGGAGGGCTTCGCGTCCCCAGCCCAGCCCCAGCGCGGGGGATGGAGCAGTCGAGAGGGCGGCCTCCCGCCGCCTAGAGGCGCCGGCCCGCTTGTCCGCTCTGCCTGTGCCCCGTCTCTATGGCGGACCCAACGGCCGTCCAGGACGTGGAGCGAGATGAGCTCGGATGCTGACGGCGGCAGTGGCGCTGAGGTGGCTGCGTTGTCGGACAAGGACAGTCCCGGGGAGGACGGTTTCGTCCCGTCGGCGCTGGGGACCCGCGAGCAGTGAGTGTGACGCTGGGCAGGGGAGGATGAGCCGTGCCGCCCTGCCTGGGCCCCGAGAAGGGGACGGCGGGGTAGAGACCCAGGGCTCGGGGACAGGGAGACCCTCGGGAGCGTGACGGCAGCAGGGCCACCTGGCGGGGGTCTCAGGGGGATTTGAAAGAGTGGAATCTCTAGGGGTCGCCCTGCGCGGTTAACCGACGTTTCAAGTGATGGGAGCCCAAGGGGCTTGTGGGTGCGGGACAGGCTTTGAAGCTCCTGGGAGGCCTTCTGAGAGTCTCGAACCGAGGCCCAGGCTTGGGGGAAAGGGGGAGAGGGCGAGGCTGGCGAATAGAGCTGGTCGGCGAGAGTGAGAGACCGAGGGAGAAGTGCTGGGCCTGGGAGCTGAAAAGGCTAAGGGTAGGAGGGGAGGGATGTGGGAGCTAGAAGTGGGGTGGGAATAGCGGATGGCCCGAGGCGGGAGCGAGGAAGAGTGGGGGATCATGGGGTGAGAGAAAACGATCTGACGTAAAACAGACGCTCAGGAATTATTAAATGAATTAATGTGGGTGGATCAATGACTGCAGGGAACGGCTGGGGAGAGGTAAATTGGCGGGATGAGAGGGAGCAGGAATTCTAGAGAATCATTGTAGGAAAAGACAAGGCAAATGAAAAGGATCCGGAGGACCGGGTGCGGTGGCTCACGCCTGTAGTCCTAGCACTTTGAGAGGCGAGGCGGGCGGATCACGAGGTCAGGAGATCGAGACTAGCCATGACCAACATGGTGAAACCCCGTCTCTACTAAAAATACAAAAATAGGCCAGGGTGGTGGCGCACGCCTGTAGTCCCAGCTACTCGGGAGGCTGAGGCAGGAGAATCGCTTGAACACGGGAGGCGGAGGTTGCAGTGAGCGGAGATCGCGCCACTGCGCTCCAGCCTGGCGACAGAGCGAGACTCCGTCCCAAAAAAGAAAGAAAAGCGTTCAGAGAAAATTTAAACGGAGGGCTAGAAGACTGGAATAGGCAGAGACAAATAGCACGGGAAAGAGACTGTGTGCCTGCACGCTTGAGACCAGATGTGCTTGTTTCATCAAGTTTTGAACTTGGGTCAGGGACTTAGGGATACGTGGACAAATGTCTGTGTTTTTTAGGCTAAAACTTATTGTTGTGCGTCAGATACTGTCCTAAATGCTTTACATGTACAGTATAAATATGTATTCTGCTTGCCCAGGTATTTCATTCTTTTAACTCAAGGGTGTAAAAAGATTGAACTATGTGTACTTATTAATAACACTAGTGATGTTTTAAACCTCTGTCATAAATAGCTCTGTAATGTATTAGAAACATACATTTAATTCATAATACAGTTTAATTCAAAAGTTTCGCTTTGCATTTCATTGTTTACATAGTTGGGATGCTGTCTATGAGAGAGAACTGCAAACTTTTCGAGAATTTGGAGATACAGGTGAAATCTGGTGAGTTAGGAAAAGAATCAAGTTATAATCTAGAAGATTGTATGTATATGTGTGTGTTTAAACAAATATGTATATATTCAAGTGCTTATACCCAAAGAAAGCCTAAAAATCCTGGGAACCCTGGATTAAGTCTGGCTTTAGTGGGTAGGTTTAAAGTATGTCTCTTCTTTTATTATTTTTTATTTTTTACTTTTTTTTTTTTTTTTTTTAAGAGAGGTGGGGTATCATTCTGTCATCCAGGCTGGAGTACAGTGGCATGATCATCATAGCTCACTACAACCTGCACCTCCTGGACCCAAGTGATCTTCCCGCCACAGCCTCCTGGGTAGCTGGGACTATAACTGTGTGCCACCATGCCCAGCAAATTTTCTTTTTTGTAGAGACAGGGTCTCACTGTGTTACCCAGGCTGTCTCAGACTCCTGGCCTCAAGCAGTCCTCCCACTGTGGCCTTCCAAAATGTTGGGAGAATGGGTGTGAGTCCTCTTTTAAAATCTCACATTTACATTTGATGACAACATTTCACCCTGTAGTTGTCCTTTTTCAATAAACAATAAAATTTTGAGCCACCAACACATACAAGTGTTAATGCTGATACAGAGAAATGTTAGTAACATACTGACCTTGTCTATTCTGTTGTATTCCTGGAGGTGGTTTCTTCTAAATTACAGTAGAGACAAAGCTTAAGCAGTCACAGATGTTTTCACTTTCAAATAAGAGTTTGAGCATATGGTATAAATAGCTTAAATGGAATGTAGTGGTGACTTTTGCTCTGTACCCCTCAGTTATTTGACTGATTCTCTCTAACAGGTTTGGAGAAGAGAGTATGAACCGACTAATAAGGTGGATGCAGAAACACAAGATTCCATTGGATGCTTCAGTGCTTGATATTGGAACTGGAAATGGTGTTTTCCTGGTTGAACTTGTTGGTACTTTTAGTATTTGTTCGTTAGAGACAAATTTTAAAATGAAAATTTTTAAAAGCCCTGCAATTGTGGATATTAACCATGTAAATATAAAACAATAAAGCAGTCATACTTTGAGAAGTCACATAGTACAAAAGGGAGGCTACATGGATTGTGAGAGAACCTAGGCAATCTCAGTCCTAGTCTTGACCCTTCTGGCTATAGCCTTATTCTTGAGCAAGCCACTTAATTTTTCTAGGCTTCAGTTCTTCCCTAAGGGTTGTAACTAGGTGATTGCTATTGGTTTCTTGTAGCTCAAAACTCTGGAAATATATATATATACACACACATACATATATACATACACACACACACACATATATAAATATGACCTTCTGGCATTCCAGTAGGACATACATATCTTAGGTGAGCATATGGTTTGAAAAGCGCATTTTGTCCATGGAACTGTGTTTTGGTAAACATTCCACTGCTAGCTAAACCATCACTGTTGTATGCCTGTAGTGTGCTCTTGCTATGCTTTGTGCTATGGAGGAATTATAAGACTTAGGTTTCATCCTAGATAGTTTTACAGTCTTAATTAGTACAGAAATAAACATAAGAGTGAAATTTGTTGAGTAACCACCACATGCCAAGCCTCATGTTTGGCATTGGCAACATGAAAATTTAGACTTTGTGCTTGAATTGTTTACATTACAATAGAGTATGGACTGACACAGACAATTGTGCTATCACTTGATGCATGCAGTAATACACTGAATATAGAAAAGAGGGTGATTAATTTTGGAGTGGAAGGATAGGGAAGCATCTTGGAGGAGTTAATATCCAAGTTGGGTGGAAATTTCAAGGACAGTATGGTGACCTAGTGGAGTGTAAAGAGGGAGAAAATATCAACTAATGGAAATATTATCTAAAGGCATGAAGGCTAAAGCAGTATTTTATGTTCTGGGCCTGTAAATAATTTGACAAATTGAAATACAAAGTATCTGTGGGGATGGACAGACATGAGGATTAAGTTAAAGATAAGAACCATATTATGCTTTGCCATGCTTAAGAGCTTCAATTTTGCATTTAGGCTATGGGGAATTGTTAAAGTGTTTTTAGTAGTGGAATATGATTAGAAATACTTGAAATAACCCTTTTTGAAACATTGAGATATAGTATGTATACATTAAAATGCACAAATCAGAAGTGTACAGCTAAGTGAATTATCAGAAAGTGAATACATCCACGTTAACAATCACCTGGTCAAGATGTAAAATATTACAGAACTCTAGAAATTCCCCTTGAACTGCCTACCAATTGTTGCTCTGTCCTTCCTTTTTTTTTTTTTCCAGGAAGGGTCTCACTTTGTCACCCAGGTAGGAGTGCACTGGTGTGATCATGGCGCATTGTAGCCTTAACCCCTCAGGCTCAAGTGATCCTGTCACCTCATTTTTTGATTTTTTTTGTAGAGACAAGGTCTCACTCTGTTGCCCAGGCTGGCCCTCCTTCCTTTTTAAAAGTAACCACTATCTACCAATCATGAACCAAAGATGAGTTTTAACATCAGATTAATTTACCTGTTTTCATTTATACATTTGAAGGTATAAATGAAACTCTTTAGGATGTGCTATTTCTGGTGTCTTTCAGGTTTTTTTTTTTTTTTTTTAGACAGAGTTTTGGCTGTTATCACCCAGGCTGGAGTGCAGTGGCACGATCTTGGCTCACGGCAACCTTCACCACCTGGGTTCAAGCAGTTCTTATGCCTCAGCCTCCTGAGTACCTTGGATTACAGGCACACACCATTATGTCTGGCTATGTAGTTCATTTTTATTGCTGTATAAGATTCCTTTGTGTCCAGGCACGGTGGCTCATGCCTGTTATGCGAGCACTTTGGGAGGCTGAGGCAGGTGGATCACGAGGTCAGAAGATTGAGACCATCCTGGCTAACACGGTGAAACCCCGTATCTACTAAAAATACAAAAAATTAACTGGGAGTGGTGGCGGGCACCTGTTTTCCCAGCTACTCGGGAGGCTGAGACAGGAGAATGGTGTGAACCCGGGAGGCAGAGTTTGCAGTGAGCGGAGATCAGCCTGGGCAACAGAGTGAGACTCCTCAAAAAAAAAAAAAAAAAGATTCCTTTGTACAATGATATCAGTTTCATTTATTCTTTGTTTACTTACATAGGTTCTTTTGAGTTTTAAAAGTTTACTGGTAGAGGCTAATGATTTATCCTTCAAGATTAATAGCCTATAGATTGTTTTCTTTCTTTTTTTTTTTGAGATGGAGTTTCACTCTGTAGCCCAGGCTGGAGTGCAGTGGTGCCATCTTGACTCACTGCCACCTCTGCCTCCTGGGTTCAAGCAATTCTCCTGCCTCTCAGCCTCCCAAGTAGCTGGGACTACAGGCTCATACCACCATGTCCGGCTAATTTTTTTGTATTTTTAGTAGAGACAGGGTTTCACCCTGTTGGCCAGACTGGTCTTGAACTCCTGACCTCAAGTGATCTACCCGCCCTGGCCTCCCAGAGTGCTAGGATTACAGGTATGAGCCACCGTGCCTGGCCAGTTTGTAGATTCTTTTAGGCTTTCTTCACTTATGTACACTATGAATAGTGGCAATTTTATTTTTTTCTTCCCAATCCTTTATAAATTTTCCTCTTATTACATTGTCTAGGACCTGCAGTAGAATGTTGAAAAGAAGTGGTGGTAGAAGACATCGTTCTTTTCCCTTTTCAGAAAATGCTTTCAATATTTCAGTCTTAGGTGTGATGTTAGCTGTTTGTTTTGTAGATAACTCCATATCAGATTAAAGAAGCTATTCCTGCTTTGCTAAGAGAGGTGTGTGTGTGTGTATGTGTATATGTGTATGTATGTATGTGTGTTTCTTGTTTTTTTTTTTGAGACGGAGTCTCACTCTGTCACCCAGACTGGAGTGCAGTGGTACAGTCTTGGCTCACTGCAAGTTCCACCTCCCAGGTTCAAGTGATTCTGGTGCCTCAGCCTCCCCAGTAGCTGGGATTACAGGTGTGCACCACCACACCCAGCTAATTTTTTGTATTTTTAGTTGAAATGGGATTTCGTCATGTTACCTAGGCTGGTCTTGAACTCCTGAGCTCAGGTGATCTGCCCGCCTTGGCCTCCCAAAGTGCTAGGATTACAGGTGTGAGCCACCACACCTGGCTGGTTTCTTTTTTTTTTTTTTTTTTTTTAATTTGGAGACGGAACCTCACTCTGTCTCCTGGGCTGGAGTGCTGTGGTGTGATCATAACTCCCTGCAGCCTTGAACACTTAGGCTCAAGCAATTCTCCTGCCTTGGCTTCCCAAGTAGGTGGGATTACAGGCACCCAACACCACACTTGGCTGTGTGTGTGTTTCTTATGAATCTTGTTGTTTGTCAAATGTTTTTCCTGTTATCAAGATAATCAAGTAATTTTTCTCTTACAGTCTATTAATGTTGATAAATTATGTTGGCCCATTTTCAAATGTTAAGTGTATTTCTGGAATAAACCAAACATATATGCCACTAGATTCAGTTTAATATTTTGTTTAGGATTTTTGCAGCTCTCTCCTGATGGAGATTGTCCTGTAATTTTCTTCTGATGCTATTGTCAAGTTCTGTTGTCAGGTTATGCTGGTATCATTAGTTGAAATTCTATTTTTTGAAATTTTAAGAATGGTGTTACTCGCTGGGCGCGGTGGCTCACGCCTGTAATCTCAGCACTTTGGGAGGCCGAGGTGGGTGGATCATGAGGTTAGGAGATCAAGACCATCCTGGCTAGCACAGTGAAACCCCGTCTCTACTAAAAATACATAAAATTAGCCGGGCGTGGTGGCAGGCGCCTGTAGTCCCAACTACTCGGGAGACTGAGGCAGGAGAATGGCTTGAACCTGGGAGGCAGAGGTTGTAGTGAGCCGAGATCGTACCACTGCACTCCAGCCTGGGCGACAGAGTGAGACTCCGTCTCAAAAAAAAAAAAAAAAAAAGTGTTACTTCTTCCTTCAATGTTTGTTAGAATTCACTGGTGAACCCACCTAAATGAAGGGTCGTTTTTGGGAAGTCTTTTTCTTTTTTGAGGTGAATTTTTCCTTTCCTTTTCTTTTTCTTTTTTGAGACAGAATGTTGCTCTGTCACCCAGGCTGGAGTGCAGTGGTGCCATCTTGGCTGACTACAGCCTCTGCCTTCTGGGTTCAAGCGATTTTCCTGCCTTAGCCTCCTGAGTAGCTGGGATTGCAGGCATATACCATGCCTGGCTAATTTTTGTATTTTTAGTAGAGATGGGGTTCTGCCATGTTGGCCAGCTGTTCTCAAACTCCTGACCTCAGGTGATCCATCTGCCTGCCTTGGCCTCCTGGAGTGCTAGTATTACAGGTGTGAGCCACTCTGCCTGGCCTGAACTTCTTAATTGAAGTGTAGTTTATGTAGAAAGGTGAGCATAAGTGGTACAAAATGAACCCCTTGGGTTATTCACTAATGCTACTAAAAAAAAATAAGACATTTCTAGTACCATAGAAGCCTCCTTGTGGCCCCTCCCACTCCTTCCCTTCTAAAGGTAACCACTGCTGTCACTTCTATCATCAGATAGGCTGTTTTTGGTATTAACTGTAGTAGCTTCTTACGGTTTTAATTTGCATTTCTCTAATGAGTAATGATGTTGAGCACCTAGAAGACATCGTTCTTTTCCCTTTTCAGAAAATGCTTGCAATATTTCAGTCTTAGGTGTGATGTTAGCTGTTTGTTTTGTAGATAACTCCATATCAGATTAAAGAAGCTATTCCTGCTTTGCTAAGAGAGGTGATACAAAGTATCTGTGGGGATGGACAGACATGAGTAAACCCCATCTCTACTAAAAAATACAAAAAAACTAGCCGGGGCGACGGTGGCGCGCCTGAGTCCAGCTGTACTCTGGAGCTGAGGCAAAGGAATGGCGTAACGGAGGCAGAGCTTGCAGTGAGCCGAGATCCCGGGGTCACTGCTTCCAGCCGACGACAGAAGCGAGGACTCTGTCTCAAATAAATAAAAA